CCACCCGCCCCCCCTTCGATTCGCGTGGGTCGTTGCCGTCCCCTAAGCCAAGCCGTGCCAGCTTGACTTAGGCCGCTGAATCGAGATTTTTTCCCATACTTAATTCAACTGGGCATGAATGCGAGCATTATGAAATAGATTACTTTTTTCAAGCGTGACAGTGCACAAAATACTTAAAGATTTATAAGAGATAATTGAATATTCCTTACAACAATCCCATAGACAAAGTTTATGTTTACTTATTTTGCAATTTCGGATGAGCATAAATCAAACATTGTTCACGATTAAGACCGGTTTAACATCAAAAGCGAACAAAGACCTGATAACAATAGGTTTCATAACCATTCCCCTCTATTAACTATGGTCTCCTTGACATACATTCTGTGTGCTATTCATAAACCTTATCCTAAAGTTCCCTTGTACCTCGTGACATTTATTACAATCTATCTAATATTAGTACATGATGCTACTAAGAATTCAAAGCCATGTTAGATCTATTTAAAATGTTATGTGAGCCAACATAAAAGATCTTGGAAGTTTACATTGAGTTAATGGTATCACCTGAACAGGGAACTCCTTGACCAGAGGGTCTCAACAGGGTTGTTCTCCATGAGGTCAAGATTTGCAGCTACTGTAGCATTCCAGTCTATGATCAAGTATTCCATGTAATCAGAAGACAAATAAGTTCAATTTGCAGTAGTGAATCTAGGGGGTTCATTCAAAGTCCCAAACTGCAATCAAACCCCTTAAATGACGACTACAAACCCTCTTATTAATCAATATAATTTATCTCATTTTTTATACACTTTACCAATTTATATTACAGTCTTTTCTTTAAAGTTGGCCCATGTCAAATCTACAGAACCCCCTGAGCTAAGCGGATGGGAACATTAAGTTTCCCATAAGTATGCATGTAGTGGTCGTTGCCATGGCTACATATATAATGTGGGTGTGGCAGGAGATAAAAAACGGATTCTAACTCACCATCAGAAATTTCATTGAAGTCATCCTGCACACAAGTGAATGTTTTGATATCCTGAAGTGTCTGACTACCCCGTGACTCTCTAAAATGATAATGATTGATATTAGCGGGGCTCTTCTGCGCCTACGTAATAAATGGTGAGCGGAAAGACAAAGCAAAGAGCAAAATGGCGAGAGAGAAAAACAAGATGGCGGACGTTTAATCAAAATTCCTCCATCATATCGTCAAAAACGACATTCTGCCGTGCTCCCTTGGATAGTTTGCAAGCAGGTTTCTCATTTCCAACTTTTTATGCCTTTACATAGGGCCTCCGAGATTTC